CCTAGGGGTGTGTAGGGCCATGGGTGTGCGGCCCATGAGTGTACGGCCGCACACTCATGAAAAAGTGTGTATGTTGAGGTGTTTCAAGGCCCTAAGAAGCATCAAGGAAGTGTTCTAGGTCCCATGCTTGGTTGTAATGCAAGTTTGAAGCCTAAAATGTTCACCAAAGTGGGTGTATGGCCCTAAGGTGTGTGTGCGGCCGTACAAAGGGGTGTGTGGTCGTACACTCTTCATGTTTATGTCCAAGTTGTCGACTTTAAGGTGCATCAAGGCTAAGATCATGTCCAACTTGAAGATAAGGGTCAAACTCTCACTTTGGAGAGCCTTTAAGGGGGTGTACGGTCGTACAAAGGGGTGTGCGGCCGTACTCCTTCAAAGGGTGAAGAACATGATGGAATTTAATGAACTAAGGCTTGAATCAAGAAGTCCTTCAAGTATAGCAAGCTAAAGGATGGACTACTCACGTTTTTGTAGCCTTGGAGGGTTCATAGTTGAAGAAACTTGAGAGGGAAGGGGGTAGTGTGCAGCCAAGAGGAGAAAGGAATGAAGGAAAGGAGTCTACCCATATATATAGGGGTGGGTGTGCGGCCATGAGGGGGTGTACGGCCGTACACCCATGTGTACGGCCGTACACTCCTCCTAAAGGAGTGTATGACCCGATTTGCTACTTTTACGACTTGATAACTCATCCCTAATCTCAACCTTGGTTGCACTCAAGCTTAGAACACTTGAACGAACCCTTAAACAGTGCTAAAAGGTAACAGAATCGAGCTTAACATTGATAAAATTGACTAATTGTACAAGATTGAAGTTCCGGGTTGTCACACTTGAACAATTAATTTGGGTGGGGTGGGGGGGGGAGACTAAAATTAACGTTCTTACTAAAAAAAATGTTTTCAAAAAATAAACACCAAAAACATCTAAAAAAGAATTACAACTCAGTCCGACGATCTTTAAGGTCTTTAAATTCATCAATTACTGATTTCGAATCAATGTTTTCAGCAATTTCTCTTTCTATGTAAATCACCAAGTTGTTTGCGAGAAAATCATCCGACATCTTATTGCGAAGACGGTTCTTGAATATTTTCATTGCTGAAAATCTTCTCTCTGTTGTTACGGTAGAAACTGGAAGTGTCAAGATTAACCGAACCGCTCTATCAAGCAAATAATATGTCTCACGTTTATGAGTTTCCACAAGACCCTTGCATAGGTCAGCAATAGTTGATACACCACTTAGCCTGAGATTCTTTTCCATATCAATATTAAAAATCTCAAATTGATATCGTAATTGAACTCTCTCTTGCTCCGTAAAATCTTCAGGATAATACTTCTCAACAAGAAAACAAATTTGATCGATGTTAATCACTTTAGAAACTAAATTAGAACTAAGACTTAACAACTCCACCACCCTACCGTTTCCCCTCTTCTTCCCTACATCTTCTAGAAAAGACTTTCGATCATAGTCCCACCTCTTATCTTCAGGTCTGGGTTATTGAACCATACTGAAGCTCGTCGTCTGTGTTCTCTTCGATAAACCTACAACTTTATCTCTCCGACAAACTACCACCTCTATTGGATTTAAAAAATTGGTGTATTTTCCAAACTGATTATAGAAACCGTTTTTCTGAAATCATTTTTAAAATCGGTGATCAATTTAGAAACTCCACGTTTGATTTCAGTTTTGTTATCGTAGATTGTTGGTCGGTTCCTATACTAGATTTTTAAATCTGATTCTAGTTTTAATTTTTGTTTGCTTATGATTTCCATCATGTTTGGTTTTCATTTTCTTAATTCACCATGTTTCGTCTGGGTTGATTTTGATTTTCAATATGATTATATTTTTGTCGTTGGTTTTATTTTTTTTGATTTGGTGATCGTGGTGACTAATGCAACCACGTGGACCAACCATATAGATGATTTGATAGTTTTACTGAATCGGTGTGTTTTAACAAACTATAAGGATCAATGCATAATTTTGTCCAACTTAAAATAAGGGTAAAAGTAAAACATATAACCCTTTATTTTTTGGGTGTTAACAACATCGTACGACATGAAACCTAGCTATGTACACTGAAATAGAAATGGACAGGCATAAAATAGATGAAATGATATTGTGCTTGGCTGTATGCTCGTATCAACATCACTGAATAATAATGAATGCAATCTCTGTGTTCCATCCACAGCCCTCTCGCCGCATTCATCCACACATACATTCTTATCTCCTATGAACGATTTTTGTATTCCCCTTTTCAATTCATTCAAATAAAACCCAAAAATTCATCAAATTAACCCATAGTCATCATCTCCCTAACCCTTTCCACATAAAATCAAGAACATAGTTTCTCACATTATGAAATTATTATCCTTTTCGTTTTATAACTGTCCAAAATGACCACAACATTTTCTTTTTAAGTAAAACTTCAATGCAAGTTCATGTTTGTGTCTATTTGTAAGTTATACGCAAGAAAGCATAAAAGATTTTATATGTATGAAGAACATGGATAGTTTATGGCAAAATTATATTAGAGTTATTGTAATTTAATTATCTCCTGAAAAAAGCATGATTACAATTCTCCCAAAAAAAAAAATATATATATATATATATATATATATATATATATATTCATATGTTTGTGAAAAGCAAATTATTATACGAAGAATGATGAAATTAAAATCCAATCATACAGCAAGTGAAATGTCGCCGATCTCAAGCTCTGCAGCAATTTCTTCCAATTGTTTCTTCACACTCATATCAATCAATTTGGATCCAGAATTCCCATACCTGATTGTGAATCCAGCAACCAATGACTCATCAATCACCGTCTTCAACCTCACGTTCTTCGCTCCGGTGAGTTTCTGCACTTGTTTCGCGATCTGCGCCATGTGCTGTTCCTCAAGCTTCACCACCGATGATACCACGGCCAACTCTGTGTTCGTTAACCTGTTGTAAGCCAGCTCGAACTCCTTCACGATCTCCTTGATCATATCGATCCTCTTACTCTCGACTAAGATGTTGATGAAATTGCAGACGTGTACTTGGAGCTTACCTGACGCCGTGATATCATCGAGCAATGCTCGTTTGTCTTCGAGGCTTACGATTGGGCTGACGAAGTAACTGAGTAAGCTGTCTTCTGAGAAGAGCTGATCGACCAATTCGACGTCTTTGACAGTCTGCTCTAGTGTTCCATTTGCGACTGCAACCTCCAACAGTGCTGCGGCATAACTTCCTGCGGCGGAATCAGCCATCTTAGCTCCGGAGGCACCGCCGCCTCCGCTGCGCCGTGGTTTCCCCGTTAGTTTGATAGATAGCTTTGGGAGTCTTAATCCGCCGGAAAAGGAGAACTTTACTGGCTTGACAGAACTTACACGAGTTGAGACTGGAGTGCGGGACTGGAATGTGACCGGAGCTTGTTGAAGAGCTGCGGCGGCTGTTGCCATTTTTACCGGCGGTTAGAGAGGAGATGGAATTTGAGAGGGGCAGGGGAAGGTTCAGATAAAAAGGAAACGACTGAAATTTGATGTAAGAGGATTTTGGATGGAAACGGACGGTTGAGATCAGGAATGGGGAGTGATCAACGGCGAGGAATGGGATTAAAATTTCTGTGAACAAGGTGGACGATTGGATCTTATCTGTAGAAGATAACGAGGTGACACGTGGCAGTCTTGTATTAGTTCAGAAAAGTATTTGGCGAGGGGATTAGAATTGTATTTTAAGGGTTCGTTCCAATATTTCCATTTGTAAATCTTGTTTAGTATTAATTGTCCGGCCCTATGTATCTTGGCCCAATTGGTCTATTGCCCGACTCCCCAATGTATTGATGTAATCCTATTTATATGTATTTAACTAATGAGATGAAATCTTTATGGGAAATTATCAAGTATATGATGTCAAAGTTTTATAGTTTTTATCCTTTCTTTCTAACCCTAGTCGTCGACCCTACCCGTTACCATCGTTGGCCATCCTCTCACCTTTCTTATGTGTTTTGTTGGTTCATCATTTCTAATACCACAAATGCAGAAAAACCCTATGAGATTATTAATACAAATTCGAATATCCCCATCATTCTAGACCTAGATCATTTTAACTATGATGCATAGCATGAGTTATTTCAAACTAACTGGAACCTAGTTGAATGAAACGGAAAACCCCAACATAATCTGATGACATCGAATGGAACCTAATCGACTCTATAGTGAAATTGTAGATTTACATAACAATTCTACGACCACATTTCTTGTCATGTATGAAAGAATCTTGCAACCCTCTTTCACGATAACAAATACGCAAAGACCACAACAAGCTTCGAAACATCGCCATTAGTGACTCCTCCATGACAGATTATTGTACTCGCATAAAGTACATTGGCAATCTCCTTAAGAACATAGATGCAATCGTCCAAGAGAAAAACTTGTCAATGTATATTATTAATGGATTATCCTTGAATTTCGATTATGTGGCTAGTGTAATACGACATAAATAGCTTCTTCCCATTTTATCGAAAACTATATCTATTCTCCCCCTCAAGGAGCAACAAATGTCTCAGGTGCAACATCGATATCTCCAAGCATCTCGTGGTGATCACCCATCGTTATTGACGGTGGTTCCTATGATGGTTGTTAAAGCCAACAAATAAATAATCCAAATAATCTAACACAAATAATATATATTAGTAATAAGGGATCGAATCCATATAAACTGGCTCGGTTCTTATTTATGCAATCCATTCGCAAAAATCAACTTTAAAATGAAAAGGAGATTTGTTTGGTTAAGTTCTAAATTATTCATAAAAAAATTGTAAAATTAGTAAAAATCAATATGAAATGAATCAACACCGGAGAGATGATCAATATTGAGATATTATCACAATATCAACCGTTAATTTATCATCATGGTTAATGGTGCAATATTTTTAATTCATTCCAACTTAGCTATAGTAATTCAAAAGTTTGAATCACCTAGATTTTTCATAAATAGTTCGGTAGTTAGAGAAGCTCTTACAATCAATCTTAATCAAAGTCATGATCAAATAAGCATATGGTTCATATAAATTGACTAGCATATGGTTTAAGAATCATCAAATCTAAAAGGAGCCCAAAAGTTTACACTTATACATTGGAGAATACAATCTTGTCATTATGATTTAAAATGAGATTATAAGCATCTACCTAAATCATCTGTTACCAATTTGTTTTGAAAATCAATTAAGTAATTTAGAAGACAAATCACCATAACCTTTCAAGTATAAAAACTCATAGTTAAAAACACAAGAAAAGTTGAAACAAAGATTGCATTCATGGATGTGAACAAGATACTCATAAACCTTTCAAAACGTAGCCAGTTGTTCATGGACTTTTTATAAGATATTGATAAAGAATAAATTAACCACACATAATCATAAATGAGAAATAAATGTACCAAGAATTAAATCCACAAGTTCACAAGTTTTCAAGCCTTCAAAAGTTCTTAAAAATAACCCTTCAAAACTCTAAAGAATACGCTCCAATCCCTCTTCATCCATCTAGAAAAAGTTCACCTACCATACGCCATACCATAAATAGCAGCCAAAATGTGAAATTGATACTATCCTACAGCCCATGTCACCGAGCCCAAGTTAAATAAGCCCAAAAGTTACCAAGGATGTCTAGGCTTGCACAAAAAAACCGGTTCAGGATCCGAACCGGTCACTGAACCGGTCCACTATGAACCGAACCGATTCAAGAACCGAACCGTCGGTTTGCACCCGTTCGAGATTTTAGATATTGAAACCGGTTTAGAACCGGTTTGGAACCGGTAGTCAAACCGATCGAACCAGTTTAGAACCGATCGAACCGGTTTAGAACAAGTGTAACCGGTTTAGATAGGTTCGAGTTTTTCTATGACGGAACTGGTTTGAAACGAACCGGTTTATGGCTGAACCGGTTTTACTATTCACGAATACTGAACATCTATACTACCTCCGCTCTATTGAAAGATCTCCATTCCTACGGCGGTTTTGTCAATGAACCCGTGGATAAGTAGGCCTTTCTTGCAGACCGATCTTCTGCCGAGTTCCTTCCTTCGTAATACTAAGTGGGGGCTAATAAGAGATATTAAAATAAAACGTCGAAATATAACTCGGATATGAATTCATTTATTATAATAAAAATTTAAATACGGATGTCAACGACAAAATAGGTTATAATTCACATGAAATAGGTAATCATCACAATTTCAGGTGCGAATAAAATCCCCCTAATATTAGTTATTTCATTCATTTAGTTATAGTAGAATACAATTCATTACAACGAAGAAAACAAGAAGATCCAACTGACATCCAAGGCTTAAATATTTGGCAGGTACAACATTTGAAACATAAGTTACAAGTCATCACAGCATACTACTTAAAATGGATTTGCGGATTTTCATTTACCCATTGTGGAAATACCGAAGTAAAGAGTAAAGACTCTGACCATATTCACGTTTATGTCAGACATCCTTATATTTACGCTTTACCCCTCCATCTCTTCAAGATTTTCATCTCCTGTCAGTCCCCGTGAACTTCCCTATTTATTAGCTCTTAACTCTTAAATGTTATGTCTGTACCATTTGCATTAAATGTTGTACATTTACTAGCCTAAAATCCCCTTCATGGAATTGAAACCTTCGGTTTCATTCAACAACTGAATCTTGTATTGATGTGTCGTAGATATTTGGAATTGTTGATAACTGGTTTAAATTCGTTCTATAGTACAATCGCTTTAGTAAAATCATTATGATTTTTTTTGTGCACATATAATATTAAAAAGTATTTTACATTAACGTTACTTATTTACCAGTTATCATATTATGTTAGATTAAGCTTATAAAATACAGGGAACTAATTAGTTTTTTTTTTTTAATCATAAGACAATTTTGATATCTAACAAACCAATCCTCTCAATTTGTATGCAGAAAGAAATGTATTCGCGACAGACTAAAAGCGTCAAAGAAGATCCATTCGTGATTCGTCCACATGTACCCATACAAATCCAAGGGCCCAACGTACAATGGCAAAATTGTCATTTCCCAATTCGCACACATATGCATGGTTTTAAAATTCAAAATTTTGACCATGCATGGCTTAGTTTCAAATTTTGGCAACTCTTGAAGGCGTAAAACTCAAAAGAGGGTGTGTCCAAGAATCATGTGAAGTGCATCAAATGTTATCCTTACATTAAATATAAGCACCTATTAATTTCACTTGTTGCATATATAAATATATGCAACTATTAATTTCACTTGGTTATTCTCCTACCTCCATATCTTTATGTGCGTATCTCTCTCTGACCATTTGACCCTTCAAATCTCTCTGTAAAACCTTGTTTTGTAAAAGCCTTAAAGAAAGCTCAAGAATTTCCAAAATGAGGAACATATATCCTCACATATTGCTTCTTGTCAGTATAGTTTTCTTGGCACTTGACCTCGGTGAAAGCCTCCATCCTCATCATTGTAAGGCCACAGCCTTCCTTTACTTTCTTTGCATTGTTAAATGTTAAGAAAAGAAGCTTTATTATCTGTTCCATTTGGCTTCACTTTACGTACCTTACGTAATTCTTCAAAAAGAAAGCCTTAATACCTCTTTTATTTCATCTATATGTACGCTCTAATAACATATTGTAACTTGTAGACTCCGATTCAAGTAACGTTTATATGCAAAAAGTGGTTTTATATATGTTTAGTCTTTGAAAGTTTGTTAAAAATCCAAAATATATACATAATAAATAGATCATTTTATGTTTTTTCTATTAATTTCTTTAATATCATTTGAATTTTCATCACTAATTAATTGTACCTTTCTACCTTTTGTTTTAGTTACTTACAAAGTGAAAGGTGGTTATGGTGAATCCCAAAATCATAAGCATCCCAAGGTTTGATCAATTCCACATATTTGAGTGATAAATGTTTGTATATCCCATTATGAAGAATCATATAACATGCATGTATATGATATTTTGTAGGAAGGAAAAAACGTAGAACTTGGAATGGATTTATACCCTACAGGATCAAGCATACCAGATTGCTCACATGCATGTGGGCCATGTTTTCCATGTAGGAGAGTGATGATAAGTTTCAAGTGTTCCATGCCTGAATCATGTCCTGTTGTCTACAGGTGTACTTGTAGAGGCAGATACTATCATGTTCCATCGAATTGATATGTATCTATTATCGTGCATGGGTATATCAAATTGAACTTATGGTATAATGTGGCTCATGAAGGGAAATTTGTAGTGGTAACATAGTTGCTGAAGTTGAATATTTTGGGAATCTAAATTGATATTGAGTTTTGTAGATATGATCTTTCATGATCGTAGTTTTGTCAGCAGGTTTTTTTTCATGTTAATTTTTGCTAGGTTATTGTATGTTCTTGTGACTTGGGTTTATTTGAATATTGGTGTAAGAATTCAGAATCTTATTTGAATTATTTTTTGTTTTTTTTTTTTAATTTAGCATGCTTGCACTTCAATTATTAATTACTCTTTCATGTTCTTATATATATGTTTCAGTAATAAAAAAATGTTATGATACAAGAGCCATTATTTATATAATAAGTAAATTCAGTTATATATATGATCATTGTTAGAAAAATTACTTTTAAAAATATGGAATAAACCATAGACCGCGCCACAAAGTCTGATAATAAAATTATGAATCGCACAACTAAAGTTCTAAACCGTCACTACAAAAAAACTAACCTTTAGCGGCGACAAAAATCGTCGCAATTGATCACCCCTGTCGTCGCTAAAGGTATCGCCGCAATTAAAGCATCGCCGCAATTGGCTCGTAGCTAATAGCCCCCTGTCGTCTCTAATACTGTCGTCTCTAATACATGTCGTCCCTAATACACCACTGTCGTCGCAAAAAACGTCGTCTCTATTAATGTTCCGGCTACCGGCCGGAGTATTTCCGACGAATCTCCCCGGAGGTCTGCGTCGTCGCAATTGATCGTAGTCGTCCCTAAAGGCGTCGCTGCTAATGTTTTTTTTTTTTTAATTTTTTTTTTTTGAGAAAAAACATATTTTTTATAATATTAATTTATATATATTACAAAATGCAGTTTTGATAAAAATACATAAATAAATACATACCACATTATATAAAAACATCAAACATACCATATTCCATAAAATATCTAATAAATCTCAAACAAACATCTAATATATATCATACATACACTATTTTCCAAATCCAAAATAACATCCCCATCGTCTTCGTCTTCCCCATCGTCCTCCTCATCGTTGTTTTCCTCGTTGACTTGGTTTTTAAAGGAGCGAATAATGTCTCCAATGGCCGTCACAAATGTCGGGTTTTGAAGAAAAGCATTCACATCAACATCCTACAATTAAATCACAAACACATTAAGTCATGAACAATTCAACAAACTATCAAACCATCAAAGCACCAAATGAGTTAAGTCGTTAACAATTTACCAAACTATTAAACGGCTAAATCAATTAAGTCTTTAACAATTTAACAAACTACCGAGCTTCCAAAAATTACTACAAATACATTAAGTTCTTAACAATATAACAAAGCAACCAAATTTTTTAAGAATTTAACAAGTACATGTGTTGGTTGTGATGCTTGTGACTGTGACTGCCATTGGGATGGAGCACTTGTACCCGCAGCTGAAGAAGCTTTAGGTCCAATGCCTCTCACATGCCCCCTTCGAGTACCCAACACCTTTGTCACGTAAATTAGTATCACTGGTCCCTTCAATGCGACAAATATTCTATTGCTAATTAATCAAAGACAAAATTGCAAAAATGGTCCATGTGTATGCAAATTTTTGGGGTTTTAGTCCAAACCCCGAGTTTGCTGGATTCATGGTCCTTTTGGAGTGGTTTGTATGTGAAAATAGTCCCTCCAAAAATTGAAATGACTATAATACCCTTGGGGTATTTATTTTTCATTTTTCTTAAAATTTAATATTTATTTATTTATTTTAATAATTAAAAAAATAAAAAAGGGCCCACCTCTCTCTCTCTCTCTCTCTCTCTCTCTCCCTCCCTCCCTCCTCTGCACGACTTCATTCCTACTAGGCACAACCCCAAGTTCATCTTCTCTAGCTGGAGGAAAATCCTAATCGCCATCTTCACTAGTGTTCAGGGAGACCAAAATTACCCAGCTTCATCACCATCTTAACCACCAAAAATCACCACCTAGTCCACCATCATCGCCATCTTCACCGCTGTTTTAAGCTAGCAAACATCATCCAATCATCAAGTTCACCTTATAGTACTCATCAGTTATTTACCATGTCCAGATGGGATTTCACTAAGGAAATTGTGTTGATTCTATGTTTAATTGCGTAAGGCTAACAAGTAACAACAAGAACTGAAACCCCAAATGAGTTCAGTTGTTCTTGATTATCAAAAACATGTTCTTGATTATCAAAAATAGTGAGTTCAGAAATGATTTAAACCTCCCTAAATGCGATTTCCTGTTGTTGGGGTTGCAAACGAACAAAAACCCCAGAAGAACCTGATTACTCCTCTTTTACAAACGAAGGGCATAATTAGAAAAGCACAAAACACATCCCTCTTCTTTGCATCAAGTGTCTTGTGTGCATGTTCTTTCTAATAGCCTAAGAACTCCATAACACTAAAGAGATATCTCTCTACCTTGATTTCTGATTTGTGGGTTGAAGTCAAGAACAGGGGATGTAGATGGCAGTGGCAACCATCCCAAAACCAGGAAATCTAAAATAAAACCCAGAAAAATTGTCAACCAAAAACCCATAAATCCTTTTCTTAGCAGCCCGTCGGTGCTTCCGGCGAAGATTGGAGATGAGATGTTGGGGTTGAGTTCAGGTGGGATGAATCCCATCAAACCTTCTTTGGTGGGGACCTCCCCTGTCGCCGCAACCTTGATGGTGGTGAAACGGTGGTGGTTTTGGATGGTTTGACGTTGTTGAAGGAGATGGGTTACGATTGTTTCCATGGGGAGGTTTGATTGGGGATTACGAGTGCAAAGAGGGAAGCTTGGGTAGCCATGCCTCGTGGATAATTGGAACCAAGAAGATGAAGAAATGGGGAAATATTTTTCATACAGTAGAATACACACTCAAACAAAGAGAGAGAGAGAGAGAGAGAGAGAGAGAGAGAGGTGGGCCCCTTTTTATTGTTTTAGTTGTTAAAATAAATAAATAAATATTAAAGTTTAAGAAAAATAAAAGAAAATGAAAAATAAATACCCCAAGGGTATTATAGTCATTTCAATTTTCGAAGGGACCATTTTCACATACAAATCACTCCAAAAGGACCATGAATCCAAAAAACTCGGGGTTTGGACTAAAACCCCAAAAAATTGCATACCACAGGGACCATTTTTGCAATTTTGTCTTAATCAAATAATTGGTGAATACTTATAAGACAAAACTGCAAAAATGGTCTCTGTGGTATGCATTTTTTTTGAGGTTTTAGTCCAAACCATAACTTTTTTGGCTTCGTGGTCCTTTTGTACTAGTTTGTATGTGAAAATGGTCTCTCCGAAAATTGAAATGACTAAATTTCCCTCTTGATACGTTTTTTTCTATTTAATTTAATGTTTTGTTAATAAAAAATAGGACCTACACCCCATTCTCTCTCTCTCTCTCTCTCTCTCTCTAGTAAGACATCCAAGAAATGTATTTTTAGGATAATGGGAACACACACATATACACACTGATGAACACATAAATACACAATCCACAATCGAGTTGCAAGTATATGTGTGTGCGTCTGCGTTCTTCTCGTTTATCCATGTAGAAGATCCTGAAATCGACAATTGACAGCCCTCACAAAACTCATAACAGTGAACATGGGTGGTGGTCTAAGGAGGTGGTGTTGAGATGGTAGCAGCGGTGATTAATGGGTGGTCAACGGAGCTATAGGGTGGCAATGGTGTTGCACTTCTGGGGCAGCGGAGAAACAGGTAGGAGGGTGGTGCCCTTCCATTCGAGTCGAAATTTCGAAGAAATTTACAGGTGGGTCTCAAATCAGATTTCCAAAAATCAAACACCAGTGTTCTTTCTTAAAATTCTAGAACAGATCTAAAGGCTTTCACTTTTAACCCAAAAATCGAATGAGGATTTATCTCTTGTATTCTGCCATAGCTTAAAATTTTAGAGAGATTGAACTTCAAATAAAAAGTAAATTGTAGAACATATCTGAAATCTGAAACTCTGATTTCTATCCCATCGTATCTTTTTTTTCCGGTTCAATTCCTGTGATCTCTGTAAATCGTTGTTGCTTTTCAAGCTTTTAGCATAATCCCTTTTGTCTATCTTTGTGGTTGCTAATATGATTTTACATCAGTTTGGGAAGGCATTGAAGGTGTTCATATTGTTGCATTGCTTTAACTTTTAGCAAATCGAGCATATCCTAAACAACCACCATCGTTGGTGTTGGGGCAATTTTACACTATGTATGAGGCATTGAAGATTTGAAGTTAGTGACTCCAATGATTAGGGCAACGCTCTGGTATTTGGGCCTCATCGATCATTTTCTGTGCAAGGTAATCGATTCTTGAATTTAGTAATTGCTCCAGCCCACCACTAGCTTATCGTGTATACAACAAATGGATTCTCTGCCCCACTATGTCTATCGATAGCAGAGAAAAACTCCTCACAACGACTCCGATTTACATGACGAATCGATCAATGAATTGGGATATTGTTAGGGGTGTCAAACCCAACAAATAAAGGGTACAAATGACTCCTTAAACACTACTACTATGCA